GGGGGGGGGGGCAAACATACGTTCTACCGTCTTCTAAACGACCCTTTCTCTCTTCTAACTTTGATTAACATTCTTGCAAATGTGGCACTATATTCATATAAGAATTAAGACCTCAACCTTTGAATATAATATATTCAAAGCCTCAACAGAGAAGTTTAACACCCTTATTTATTTGTGAATGGTAATTTAATACCTATGCAGAAATTCCTTCTCGATAACAGGCGCGCGAATTGATGAATATTACGCTAATTTTGTGCTTCTAGGCTACGTAGTTATTGCTTTGGCTATCAGACGGTCACTGCCCCTACTATGATTCTAATGACTTAAACCCCAAAAACGAAATTGGCGAATTAATTTAAAATGACGATATCTTCATCTAGCTCTTAAAAAAGGCCGAACTTGAGATACGAGGACAAAAGCAGACATTCAAACGTGCAAAAGACGGACTTCATTTCCAACACGGTTATTAAAATTGTATTAATTTTCCACCGCCACGCCGACGACTTTTTTCGACACCCTGTACTTAATAGTGTAATCTCCAATAATATTCAAAAACCAAAACGGATCTACCCTTAAACTCAAAATCTAACACATTTGCAACGAAATTTCGAGAAAAAATTACACAATTTTAAATCCAAACTGGCTCCTACCGTTACATTATGTGTATGAGATCACTTTTTAATGTCACTATTTTTTTCAGTTACATGATCCCTACCTTCATACAAAATTACAGAAAAGGCGTAAATCGAGATGATGTATACGAACCACTGAAAGCGCATGCATCGGCGACTTTGGGCGATAAATTAGAAGCACTATGGAATGATGCCACACGTAAATATGAAAAGTTTGGTTTGCATGTGGCTCTCTTCAAATTATTTGGATTCGAGTTAATCTTAATTGCTGTTGTGAAGTTGATATCGGAAGTCATTACATTGTAAGTTGTTTGCCCCACAGCAAGTTTTTTTTTACTAATCACGTTTAAGGATTGTTATGCCAATGTGCGTGGATAACTTGGTATCTTACTATGAACACCGATCTGAAGCTAATGTGGAAGATACTTACATTTACGGCTCTGTACTAATAGGTATCCTCTTCCTAGACGGAATTGTAGATCACCACGCTATGCTAGCAATTATGCATGTCTGTATGAAGATGAGAGTTTCGTGCTGTTCGTTAATCTACAGAAAATCCCTTAGATTAAGCAGAACCTCTTTGGCTCAAACAACAGTCGGTCAGGTTATAAACTTACTATCTACCGATGTGAGCAAGTTCGATCAGACATTCGTCTTGTATCATTACGCTTTCTTAGGGCCTTTGGAAACCATGATTGGCACGTACCTACTTTACCGAACTTTAGGTGTAGCCGCATTCGCTGGGATAGCGTTCTTGTTGTTGTTTATACCATTACAACGTAAGTGCAGGTACCTATTTATACATACAGTATAATTGCTCATATTTCTTGATTTGCAGTTTATTTGTGCAAAAAAATTGCGGTGCTAAGATTGCGGACTGCTTTCCGTACAGATGAAAGAGTACGACTTATGAACGAAATTTTGAACGGAATTCAAGTAATTAAAATGTATACCTGGGAGAAACCGTTTGCTAAGTTGATCGATTTGGCTCGACGGTAAGTGTGATGATGGTTTCGACGGAAGCACTTTCCCATTCTTCCTTGTAGGCACGAGATTGCGTCCATTCGATCACACTTCTTCCTAGAGTCTATCATGTTTTCACTAGAAATGTTTATCACAAGAACGTGCCTGTTTATTAGTCTGGTAGTATTTATTGCATTGGGTGCAACCATGACGGCTGATATAGCGTACGCTGCTACCTCGATATACTCTCTTCTGCGACCGGTTATGACAATGCTATTCTCAATCAGCATAGCATCGTATGCCGAAGTTCACATATCCATAAAACGAGTACACTCATTTTTATCCTATGAGGAACAACCTGTGGATAGCCCTGAAAGTACATCACCGCTAATCCGATTAATCCCAAACATTTGTATTAAAGATGTTTGTGCGAAGTGGATTAACACTTCATCTGATAATATCTTAACAAACATCAATCTCGATCTGCACGGAAACAATTTAACTGCGATAATTGGATCAGTCGGAAGTGGAAAAAGCACCCTACTGCATCTCCTCTTGGGCGAACTTTACACGGCGAGTGGCGATGTGCGAATACGAGGAACTGTTTCGTACGCCCCCCAAGAAGCTTGGCTATTTTCAGCTAGTGTTAAACAAAATATACTGTTTTGTCACGATTACAATGAAGAAAGATACAAAAAGGTGCTTAAAGTGTGCGCGCTAGAAAGAGATTTGGCACTGTTTCCGTTCGGCGACCGTACAATTATTGGAGAAAAAGGAAAGAGCCTTAGCGGTGGGCAAAAGGCACGAATCAATTTGGCACGCTGTATTTACAAAGATGCAGACATTTACCTTTTGGACGATCCCCTGTCGGCGGTCGATTCAAAAGTTGGCAAGCATATCTTCGAAAATTGTATTAAAGATTTTCTTAAAGATAAAATGCGCATATTAGTTACTCATCAGCTTCAGTTTCTGAATTGGGTCGATAATATAGTCGTATTAGAGGACGGAAAGATAGTTGCGGAAGCGACATTTGAGGAGCTCCAAACGAGCGGTTTAAATTTTGCAAAAATTTTGGATCAACAGGACATTGGCGAAGATCCAGTGCAAGGGGAAAAAAAGCAAAGGTCTCGTCAAAATTCGGAATCCTCTCAAAACTATGAGCAATTTAAGGACGATGACGAAGATACACTTGACCAAGAGGAGCATTTGACGACCGGTCATATTAAATCTGAGGTATATGCGAGTTATTTCAAAGCGGGTGGTAATTATCTTGTCATAATTTTTGTCGCCTTCACCTTTATTGCTAACCAAGTGGTTACCAATGGTGGCGATTACTTCGTTTCGTACTGGTAAGTATCATACAAACTTCATTTGTAAGCTTACCATGACTTTTAGGGTCAACCTAGAGCAAAAGGCGTTAGAAACGAACGGCACAGTAGATAAGGACGACATCATATACATCTATAGTGGATTAACAGGGGGAACAATGATACTCGCTATCGGCCACAATTTGCTATTTTTCGTGTACGCCATGCGTGCTTCCATATTTATACATAACGAAATCTTTCAGAAGGTCTCGCATGCTTCTATGAGTTTTTATAATTCCAATCCCGTTGGAAGAATTTTAAACAGATTTTCAAAAGATATTGGTATAATTGACGACTACATACCATTTATTTTGAATGATATGACCGAGGTAAGTTACAATTTTTTTTATATTTATATAAAGAGAGAATTTATTTATTTAATAATTAGTCAACGAGTAACAAAATAATTCAGAAAAGTCAATTTACGAGAAAGTTCAAAAATTCCAAACGTAAACGTAACTTGAAAAGATTCAAAATGCAAAAAGATCTTACGTTTCGGTTAAAACACCAAAGGCAAAAGCAGTCCCTCTAAATAACAGTTTCTTTCATAAAATTCGATGGACGTCTTAAAAATCTGTAATTGGCCTTAACATTTAAATTAATTAAGAGCGCTTCTAGTGACACCCCTCACGACTTAATCGGGTGCTGTTTACTGCATCTCATTTAATCGGCTAATTACACTTACTTAATTTGCCGGATAATATTTATAAATTCATTATTCTAATTAACACCTGTTATCTCTTGGAATTTCTCAGGTCGGTAAAAGGTCTCCTATCAAACTGATACCGGCGTAAACCTGCATGGCATAATTGAAATATCTTGACGGGAACGGTTGCAAACGGCGAAGTGATTCCAACTTTTGTTTACCGTAAAGGGGCCGAAACACAACTCTAAAAATTGCCTTTGTCTTCAACTCCTACAACCAACACAAATACTTATGGCACGATACTTTTGGTAACGAAGCGCCCCCATATACCGGGTGGTCATGAAAGTATGTACAGTTCAAGGCGGAAAATAGGTGCTTCGTTACAACGCCTTTAAAACTCCACACTACCTTTTTACATCCTTTTTTTGGCAAATGTTTACAAGCAGCTAGAACACATATACTC